CATGCTAAATGCTTACTTTTCTTGTAAAGGGTATAGATACAAGACGTTTTTGTAATTTTCCTAACTTTAGGGGTTTGTGTAATTACTGTAAAGTAATTATTTTTCGTCTTAGGGACCATTTTGCAATTTAATTTGGGATATATTTTCAAAAAGGACCTTTTTGTAATTTTAAAAAAGTGTGACAAGTGTCACACTTTCATTGGTCCACTTGTTGACATGTGTGTGGAAATACTTTGAGGCCTTTGATGAGGATATGTGGAGGGTGGAGATTTAACCACTTGTTGGCCTAGGATTGGTGCACTTGTTGGCTTGGATGGTTGACAAATGTAGGCTTGAGATTTAGCCTAGGATGGAGCCTTAGATTTGTGACAAGTGTAGGCTCACAATTTGATCTTACATTAGTGTGTGTGTGAGAGGTAGTGTAAGAGCACATAATGAGTGGAGGATCTCTATCCCCTCCACTCACATTTCATCTTCATCATTTTTCATTTCCTCCCTCTCTTGTAAAGAAAACCCTAGCCTCCATGGATGGAGCCTAAAGCCTTAAGCTTTGACCTTGATTTTTGAGAGCCTTCCATTGATTTCCAAGCTTAAACTTGGGAATACATTTTGTTCCCCTTATCTTCCTCTTCATAACCTTAGAAGGGTTTGCCATTTTGTGTTGATTTTGCCTTGGATTCTAGAGAGACACTTCTCTAGTGAGGTAGGGGATGTTTTAGGGTTGTATTTTTTTGTTATCTTGCATGCTATTGATGCTTATATAAGTCGTATACATGTCTTTTGCTAATTTGATAAATTTGTGATTTATCATATCTTGCATATAAATCATTTTAGACTTGATAAATGGCATGGCCATGAGTTGATCTTTGACATATGTTAATTTGAGATGATTTAGATGAGTTTTCAAATCTAGAGATTAAATGGATTTAATTTGATTTAAATTTTAGTAAATTATGTTTTGCTTGTATCCCATTTTAGATTTAAGATATGGTATGACCATGATTTGGTGCTTGTTATATATTAATTTGGGATCATTTGAATAACTTTTGAAATCTAGAGATTTAATTAAAATTGAATTAATTAAATTCTATATGAAGGTATCTTGCTCATTTTGTACTTTTGACTTGATATATGTAATGAGCATGCTATGTTGTTTAACATAGATTAAATTAAGGTTATTTGGAATAGATTTGAAATTTAGAGAATTTAATTATTTTGTTTAATTAAATTATATCTAATGGCTCCATGGATCTATTGGTATTTTAGAAGTTGTTTCTATATTCAAATCATGGACTTGAACTTGTTATGTATTCACTTTGTTGTGTTTTGAGTATTGGACAACTTTGTTATTATATTTATATTCATGAGAACATGTTTTCTTTATGGAATATATTGATGCCATGTGTAGTGAATTGCACACTTTATAATTGACATTATGTATGTCATTTTAGAATTGAAACTCTAAGGCATGGATTGTGTGGTTTCAACGTACTTGTGCATGGAAGGTGTTTTCATGCATTATATAAGTTATGTATAAGTTGTGAACTTATTTGGTTTAATTTGGAATCTTAGAACATTGTTGAGTTAAGATGGCTAGGGTTTGGCTCTAGTACGGGGACGTGAGTCCTCTAAGTCATTGAGATAGTGTGCACTTAGGGTGGTCTTCCCTGCGGGTTAGTGCCCGGAATAACCATTGAGGTCTCGGCAGAATTCCGAGCTTAGATATCCAAGTCTTCCACTATTTGTTTTCGCATTCAATTCCAAGTTAACAATCATGTTTATATTGTAACTTGTGGTTTTGGTTATTGGCGATTTTGATGTTGTTAAGTACATCAATGTTTATGATTTTAATGAATCATTCTAATGTTGTTAAGTACATCTATGTTTTATGATTTTTGTGAATCATTTTGATGTTGTTAAGTACATCCATACTAAATTGCTATATTTAGTTGATTTCACACTTTTAGATTTCTAGTTGATAACCTAGAGAACCTATGTCTTGATGTGTGGTATTAGATATTCTAATTATGCTAAATTGTTATATTTAGTTGATGTTGCATTTTAGACTTCAAGTTGATTACCTTGAGAATCTATATGTTGTTGTTTTGTGTAAGCATGCTCCTATGTTGTTGCTTTGTGTAAGCATGCTCCTACGTTGTTACTTTGTGTAAGCATGACCCTATGTTGCTAAAATTGCATGAATGAGGTGATTGATGCTAGAAATGATCTTAGGTAGCTAGGATGTTCCTTGAGTCTCACATTTGACATAGACGTTAGGTGGAATGAACCACAATAATTAAATCATGCAAACTTGTAAAACGTAGGTCGATGCATGCTCATTTCCTACAAGTAGCTTTATGTTACTCACCCCTACGATACTGGGGCATATTTCAGGTACAAGAACCAAGGTTGCGATTCTCGTCATGCTTGGATGATTGGTGGACTTGAAGATTTTCATTTCTTGTAAAGGTTGGCTTGAAAAGCCATTTGTAGCCTTATATGTCAAAATATGTATATTTGAATTTAAACATGTAATGTATACATGAGTACACTCTTTTCAATGTATTTGACACATATGAGATGAGGTCGGAGGCCAATGACATGTATTTGTATCCTATGTAGTTTTGACTTCATGAAATATTATGAAAATATTGAAAAATGTTTAGTTATTGTTTCACCATGTTTGCATCGGGTGTGGGAATTCTATTTTGATTCTTCCGTAGGATCTCATTAATCATGCATGAAGTGTGGCCAAGGGCCAAACGGTAATTTCCAATCATTTGCTAATTTTGGTTTTCAAAATACCCATTTCAAATTCATTTTTCGCCTTTTTGGCCGTTGGGGGGTCGGATTTTGACTCGACCATTTTCGGGAGCCGCGGACCATTCCCGCATGCTTAAAATCACTTATTATGTTTGCATGCATATTCGTTTCAGCCTAGAAATGCAATTGGGGTCAAATGTAGGTTTGGTGCAAACTTACATTTTTTGTCGTTTTGAGCCTAAACTGAGCATAAGGGCATTTTGGGGTTTTCACTTGAAAAATAAAGGTTTTTTTTGGCATGGTTAGCTAGAAAACATGATTTTGACGGTAGTTTCTTCTTTGTGTTTTTCTCAAAAAGGCCCAGAAAGTCCTCAAAATTGCATTTCAAGTTGGCATTTTCAGGTGCAACTACAGTAGTGTGAGCGCTCTAAAGGGGGGGTTCGAGCGCTCTAACTTTGGGCAGAATTCTTAGGGCAATTTTTGAGCTCTCGAAGTCCTTGTTCGAGCGCTCGAGGTACTGTTCACGGGTGTGTGTGTGTGTCTTGGTTCAGCACTGCACCTCCAACTTCAAATCATCATATCTTCTTTGTTTTAACTCCGAATTGGTCCGTTCTTGAGTCTAAATTGACCGCATTGAAGTAAGCTTTCCAATGGTACCAATTTCAGATTTAGATTATTCTTGTAGCTCAAGATATTCAAGTTTTAGTAAGGTAGTGTCTGTTTTTGGTTCGAACCGGGATAGGGTTTCCCTTCCTTCGACTTCAGAACTTGATATCTTTGTCGTCCGGACTCTGAATCAGGTGATTCTTGAGTCTAAATTCATTAATTTTTCATTGTCTTTCCAGTGGTGTGCACGGTGGCACCCATTTCAATGTAGAATGACCATTTTTCCCCTAGGTTCATTCTTATCCATTTTTGAAACGTTGCTTCCGCATTTTCTTCCTTTGGGTTTCGTGACCTCATTGAGGGTTACATTGGTGTCTTAGAAGAGTTTTGTATCTCTAGAGACCATTGTTCTATATTTTGTTTCTACATTTCGGATCCGTATTGGGTCATCACAGGACACACTGGGTTAAAAAATCCAGGGTCTTCACAGCTATTCTCCTGGTGAGGGTTTGGACTTCCTTCATGGTTCGGGGTTCTTTATTTTGTAGCAGCTTTGTCAACTAGGTGGGGCTTGCCTCTATCCCTCTTTTGTTCACCAGATGGCCGAGGAACTGGCCCGAGGACACCCCGAATGAACACTTTGTTGGATTTAACATCATTTTATTTTCTCTGAGAGTGTCGAATACATCATGCAGATGTTGCTGATGATCTTTCTTATCCTTGCTTTTCACAACTATGTCATCTATATAAGCCTCAACCATTCGGTCGATCTACTTTTCAAGCACTTTGTTGGTTAGCCGTTGATAAGTTGCCCCTGCGTTCTTTAGTCCGAAAAACATCACTTTGTAACAGTAGGTCCCACACTCGGTAATGAAAGAAGTCTTCTCTTCATCCAAATGGTCCATCGAAATTTGGTTGTAACTTGAATAAGCGTCAAGGAACGTTAGTTTCTCATACCCGGTCGTACCGTCCACTATCTGATCGATTTTACGAAGTGGGAAGCTATCTTTCGGACAGGCCTTGTTCAGTGAAGTCGATGCATACTCTCCATTTGTTATTCTTTTTTTGGACTACCACTATGTTCGACAACCATTGAGGGGACTGGACTTCTCTGATGAACCCTGCCTCCAGAAGTCGGTCGATTTCTTCCGCAATGATTTTGTTCCTTTCAGGGGTGAACCTTCACTGCTTTTGTTTCACTGGTGGATGGCTTGGATCCACGTTTATGCTACCCGTGGGTCAATTCCTGGCATGTTCCAGTGATTTCAAACTAAGATATCGGCATTCTACCTTAAAATTTTTTATCAGCCCTTCCTTTTCCTGGGCTGACTGGAGCGTCCCTATCTAAGTTAGCTTGCGTTTGTCCCCTGTGACTATTCGCACGATCTCTAGGGGTTCTTCAGTTGGGTGCTCCTCTTTTGGCTCCCTGCCCTCCTCAGGAGAAGAGGAGTCTGGTAATTGTTATTTCAGCAATTGTTTGCCCCTGTTAGCTGGGTAGATCGTTGTGTGATAAAAATTTTTTGCCGCCACTTGATCCCCCCAATATCGATGATTTCCTGCCCGTTCGGGCTAACGTACCTCATAACTTGATGCAAAGTTGATGGGACTCCATCCATACGGTGGATCCACCCTCAGCCCTTTAACAAATTGTAGGTTAGATAGATATCCGCAATCATCAAGTTCTCTTTCAGATATCTTTTAGCCACAGTGACTGATAGTGTGATTACACTTAAGGGCTCTACTCTCCTTCCATTGAATCCTACCAAAGGATTGCCGGTGGGGCGAATCTGATCTACGGCTAACTTCAGTTGATCAAAAGTCCACTTCGTTATGATGTTGGCACTACTGCCAGGGTCGATCAGTGTGCGTCTGACCAGGCAATTAGCCACTAGAAGACTAATCACTAATAGGTCTTCATGTGGATGTTGTACCCTCTTGAGATCTCCTTTACTGAAGGAAACCTGTGTAGGGCTGAGTTTGCAGCCAACAGCATTGATTTCACCAATCCTCCGTAACTTATGGGCTTGCTTGAGCTGCATCCTGTAGGAATTCTCTGGTTGTTCATCCTCTTCCGGATGACCATGAATTATATTGATTACTCGAACGGGATGGTTATCCATCGCAGCCTTTGAACTTAGCCGGGTTTGCTCAGGTTACCTTTGTTGTCCCGGGTTAATCAAATAGTTTGCTAATTCACCTTTGGCTATTAATGCTTCTACTTGCCTTCTCAGACTCCTGCAATAATTGATCAAGTGGCCAAAATCATATGGAACGTACAGTGTTTACTTTGGTTTCTTTGCTCTATTGGTTGTCTGATTGGGGGATCTGAAAAATGTTTCTGTTCTTAGTCTCTTGGTACAAACTGGCCAGTGTCACTTTGAGAGGCATGATCTTTTCAGCTGTTCAAGATTTCTTTTCAGAAGCTCTTCCCTTAATGTTCGGTGGTTCACGTTGGACCCTTGAGGTGCTCGGTCGTTCCTTCGGTCGGCTTTCCATGGTGACTAGGGTTGCCCTTTGTTGTCTGGTTACTTCATTCTCTTCAAGTCTAATATAGTTTTGCACCTGTAAATTTAACTCTGACATGATAGTCGAAGTTTTCTTCACCAGAGAGGAATGAAAATGCAAACCATACACCATGGCTATCTTCAATGCTTCTATAGCCATGACTTGATTGCAATCTGGAATATCGGAGGACTTCGTGTTGAATTAAGTGAGGAATGTTTGCAAGCCTTCCCCCTTCATCTACTGAATCGTGAAGAGACTGGCAATGGTCTTTTTATGCTTTTTGTTCCTACAATACTGGGTAAAAAACATGACGCACAGTGATTCAAAGTTTGGGATTGACTTGCATAGGCGATTTTTGAACCATTCCAAGGCTACCCCCGTCAGGCTGGATAGGAATATCTTGTACATAAAAGGATCATTGTGTGCCTCTAGTGTCATTTCCTGAGTGTAATGGTTTAGATGCTGGAGAGGGTCTACAGTTCCATTGAACTTGATGAACTTCGGCATTGTAAACTTCTTGGGTCTCGCAACCCGTTCTATTTCATCCATAAAAGGAGTCTTCACTATTGATGCAGTGAATTCTCTTGCAATATCTTCAGGTGTTTGGCCCTTCAACCCTTTGATTCGCTCCATTTCCTTTCAGAGCCTAGCGATGAAATCATTCCCTGATGATGGTTGTTCGGCAACCGAGACCCACGCCTCTTTTTTACCTGAGTCAGTATCATTTGAAGGGGGGACCTTAGTAGTTCAAGGCCCTCCCATAACGGAGTTCCCTGGGATGCGGGATTGGCTTCTTGTATCCTCGACATCGTCTGGTATTCCGTCGAATTGTTGTTGTGGAACCCTCTGCTAGAAAGGAGGGTTATTGTGGCCTAGCGCCAGAGGAGGATCTTCGTTTTGACGCTCGGGCTGAGGGTCAATTGGTGGATCATTTCGCAGAGCATTGTCTCAAAGTCTTCATTTTCTTAGCACAGAGTGTTGATTTGCACTATGTTGGCTTCATGAGCCTATCTTAATGCGTTGATTTGTTCTGCACTAGCTTCGTTGGCTTGTCGAAGGACGTCGAGTTGCACTTGCATCTCTTCATGCATTTTCTACATGATTTCCTACTGTTGTGCTTGTGCGGCGTCTGATCCTGTAGCCATTCCTAAGCGATATCACATGAAAGTGATAGAAAACAGACTTTTTATATCGAATTCCCACAGACAGCGCCAAAATGTAGGTGTAGTTTCTTACACCCGAGCACTTAAGAGAATAAATAAAAAAGAAATATATGAAATATAGAGGAAACAACAGATAATTTTAAAGAGAGGAACAATGATGGGAATTCCATATCTTTCCATTATTATTCATGCTCTATTTATAAGCTTTGTTTAGAGAATTACATGGAGCTGTTACTGGCAATTTTCCAGACGTGGGTGTTTATGCTTTCTGATCGTGCGTCCCTTTCTTTTATGATGGGTGTTATGGAGCTTTGGGCTATTCGTGATTGGGCTGATCTTAAATCCATTTCATGTCAAGTGGAGCCTCCTTCGTTAACTGGGCCGACTTGATGTGTTTATGAACTTTTCTTGTTGGGCTTCTTGCTCATGCTGGGCTTCAAGGCGGATTTGGTTAATAATAGGCTATGCACCAATTGATATGTGATAAGCGCCGAATATTGTATATTCAAGCGCCCTAAAGTACATTAACAAAGTCCATTAACTGATTATTTTATGTAGATTAACTCCATTTGCATGTTTTTATGCATTTTCAGGTTAAAGTGCAAAAAGGAAGCAAAAATGATGCCTTGTGGAATTTTGAACAAAAAGGATGCCATTTCTGAATTTCTGGCAGCAGTGATCCTGACTTTTGTCGCCATTTTCGACCTAGCAAACTCAAGAACTGGACTTCCCTCATAACATAAAAGATTTAGAGCTCTGAATCAGCTTTCCAAATCTTCAAACGGTTTGTCATTCGGAGCTCGGAGCAGAGAGTTATGGCCTTGTTACCAGAGGTGCGCAGAACTGCCTGGCAGCAATGCAATTCTGCCTTAATCTTCATTTTCGACCAACCAGACTTGAGAATTGGGTCTTCATCAAAACATGAAGTTTTTAAAGCACTAAATCAGCTCTCCAAATCTTCAAACAGATCATCATTCGGAGTTCGGAGCACAAAGTTATAGCAGTTTTCCCAAAATAGGTCAGCGCTAAGCAAGAGGAGCATGTTGCACATTGCACTAAGTTAGAGTGCTCGAGATCACTTTTCGAGTGCTCGAAAATCAGGCAGATTGCACTCGGAAATGGCTCAATTTCAGCCACTTGCACATTGGTTTCCTCAATGCCATCTTCCTTCTTTATGAAGTGGTTGGAGGTGTTCCTTGGAGGAGAGAGAGAGGGTGTTGTTGGAGAATAAAAAGCTATCAAAGGCCACACATTGGCTATCTTTGATCTTTAGCAAGATAGAGGAGAGAGAAGAGAGTAAGGAGGAGGGTGTTCTTGAGTGCTACAGTAGGAGCTCGAAAATGGAGATGGAGTCTTCTTCTTCCTTTTCTATTTTTGTATCCATGGATAACTAAACCTCCATCTAGGGAGGTGATGAAACTCCTCTTTGTAAGCATGTCTAGTTTTTGATTTATTTTGGGGAATGAAATGTGTATTTGACTAGTTCCATAATCTAGAGCATGTTATATAATGTAATGGATGTTTTAATGTTCTAAAGATCATGTTGCATTAAATACTCTTGTCTTAGATGATTTAATCTCATGGTTGTATGGCTTGTAGTCTCATAGTGACAATGGAGCTAAGACTATGGAATGGTTTTAATGGCATGATTTTGAGTAGCTTGTTAATTCATTGCTTAAGAATTTCTTTTGATGGATTAACCTTGTGACTTGTTATCATGTGCTCTCATCAATTGGTTACTTGTTTGACAATCTCTAGCTTAGTGAGCATGTTGAGGATTGCACCATAGTTTAGGTAATTTAAGCATGTGGAGCTTTGATAGGTTGTTCTTACATTTTAATTAATTGAATTTCTTGAAGATGATATAGTAGTCATGAATTGCTATTCATCAAGGTCATTTCTACATTAATTCCCCAAATCAATCATATAATTAGCTTGTGTAGAGGTTTGGAGTGGATTCACTTCCCTAGACTTCCTTCTCTAAATCTTCTCTTTTAATCTCCTTCAATTTATTGTTGTATGCATTCTGAATTTGTAGTTAAGTGACAACAAACACAACCTCTATGAACACCCCTTCATCATCCTAAGAATGACTCTAAACACTTAGGTTGCCTTAGACTAACGCAGTCCCAGTGGTTCGACTTACCCGACCAATAGCCCTATTTTACAATGATTCGTGCTATTGCGAAGGTTGATGTATAGTTGATCAACCGATCAATATGTTGTGTGTTATGATTGGTAGGGAACTTTCCCTCCACAGTGCTATGTTTAAAGATGGTAAGAAATTTTACCTTGGATATCTTTAAGCATATAAATATAACCCAGGGCAAGATGATATTAAGATCAAATCAAATGCATTATCAAGAAAATTTTGGTCCGAAGGTTGATTGGGAAAGGCATGCGTATGTTGGGATTTATATGCCCTGACTTAGCGAATTCCTATTTGGATTAAAATGGCATATGTTCCTAACATATCTAATATATTTATGCTTTATACAATTGGTGAATTCAATATATTATGTTTCAATTCATTACGGAATTGATAGTGTCCATTTGATTACAAGAGATATTTATATATGTATGTGATGGTGATCAATACATGAATATAAATAGTAATCATAAATAGTTCATCGTCGGTAATTATGGATGGACTCATTATTAACTAAGACTTGAACTAGATCTGGGTTAGGTTGAGATATATTGTGAGAGCCGTCGTATGCAATTGCTCCCTATCACCGTCATGGCATGTGACTCTTAAACATGAGAGAAGTGTAGACTCTTTTATTAATTAGTAATTACTTTGATTTGTTCGGTGGAATCTTCAGAATCCATAGATCGGCACTTTGGGTAATTATGTAATTAATAGTTAGAGGGTTGTATTTTCAGTATTTGCATCATTGCTACTTATATTTATTTTATATTGATTATGTTTGATCACAAACTAAATTCGAAGGCCTTCGTGTGTTTTTAAATAAAATGATTTATTATATTATTTATTTAAATTATTATTTTGTGAAACAAATGTTTATATTGTGATCAAGCCGGAAATAATCAAAGGTACTAAAATAAATATATTAATTAAGTAGTAGAATTGATGGCTTTATTTATCCGATAACTAATCATGCATAGAGGGGTCAAAGTGCAACATTGACTTAGATGTTATTTACTATTTAATTGGACTTCAATTAATTTCTTTTAGCGGAGTAGAAATTAATTTATGAATTAATTAAATTGGGTTGATGGACCGGGCCAATTATTAATTCATTGTATCCAATAAAAATAATAAACTCAAAGAATTCTCACTCATAGCCCAACTTGATATTGGAGGCCCATTAAATTTGAGATATCATGTTAATTTTAGAGATTGAGAAAAATATATTGTCTTTAATTATTATTTTTTATTTTGCCTATATATACATGGGTCCATGTATATTTTAGGTTAAACATTTGTGCAATAATTTTAAAAGATAAGAAAAATATTTTCTCTCTCTAGAATTTTAATGTTAGTGTTTTCATATGATAGAGGCTCCCACAAGCTTAGCTCTCCAATGGCATTCATGGAAGCTTATGAGTGATTACTAAAGGCAAGATCATTACCGAGAAAATAGAGATCCAAGGAGGAGGAGGCATCTAAATAAGGGATTTACAATAAGTGAGCACATTCACTTTAGAGAAGAGATCTAAGTTTACTCAAACCTTGATATAAGTTTTCTATCTCTAACTGAATGTATCATCATGTTCTTCATGCATAAAACTTGTCTCTACACATGAATCAAAATTTTTATTTAAAATTCTCTCGTAAAGTTTTAAAAACTTCTGTTACCCACAAGGCTAATCATATAGTAACTTGGTATGGTACTATGTATTCAAGCTTCAATATATAGTACTACTATACTGACATGTTGCATAGGATTTTTTACTCTTATTTTTATTTTTATTTTTATTTTTAATTTTATTTTAGCAGGTCAATTGTAATTGTTATCATATTAAGTTGGCTAGAAAATTGTCAAATTCAGGGTGACCTGTGCTATATATTCAATTAGCAAGTTTTTCTTCAATTTTATAAGTTTTTGGTTCCTAAAATTGGATGCCAGATTTAAACAATTGCAAACAGATTCAAGGCATTGGTCTAAGCCGGTGGATAAACAACTATTCATGCTAGATGAAAGTGTGGCAAGTTCAATGAGACCATAGCCCTAGGCTCCTAGCTAGATTTGCACATTGAATCAACAATTGCATATGGGATTTGACTTCACAAATCTTTCTGCAGCTTATTTAGCAAAATTTGTGGACATGAACAAAACTCATTCATTACTTCAGCTTCCAACCAATTTTGAATTGGAGTCCATATGTGCATTACATTTCATGAACTATACTTTGAAAGGTTGTTTGTATCCTATGTTCCTTTCAGAACTTGTACTACGCTCTCATAGTACTGTCTACTGTTTGAATAAAAAAATTCTCTTATATACCAACAGAAATAACACATTTCTACAACTTCGATGCCCTTTCTGTGATAAAATCAATTTCCTTTTTTATTTTTTTACCCTCGCAATAAGGATAATAATCATGAGACAAAAAACGAAAAAATTGAAGAATATGCTTCAGATTTGTTGATAAACAAGCCACAACGCACCAGCGGACCACCAAAGAAAAAGAGTAATAACAGGAGTGACCCAAATGTTAAGTCATTATTAAGGCAATAGTTCCAAGACTGCATTCACAAGACGCCACCGACTAGAGAAAAACCACCCAAACCCCGCACAAAAAGGTGGGGACAACAAAACCCAGAGATCTAGCCGGAGACAAAATAACAGATCCACCCCGTCGATACAGAAACATGCCAAATAGGAGCAGATCTAGCAAAGCAACAACAAAACGACGTGAAACCCACCCACCGAACGAACTTACTACAACACGCAGAGTTTATTAAGCGGTGGGACAGTTTTCTTTCTATCTACTAGCACTAAACCGATTTGCCTTTTACATGTATTTTCTCTTTAAGACAGATTGCAATTAGTTTTTTTGGAAAATTCATCTTTTATTCATTTGTTCTATTCTTGTGGGAATCAAGGCCGGCTTTCTGTTTTATTGGGGGCCAGCGATGGATCTTTATGCCTGATCCTTTATGGAGATTAATTTTCTGGAGCAATTGGCGATGGGAGGTTGATCTGAAGCATCAACGCACTGTGCTGGAGTCCAAAGTCTCTGATGCTTGTGCTGCTGTGCTCGGTGGTTCCTTGATGGGTCAGCTCCGACGATCGTTCTGTGGTTCTTCCGATGGTGTTATTGTTACGTCATGGCTGACGTTTCTAGACCTGATATTTTAGATGTTTTAGTTTTGATTGGTGTGGGCCAGGTCACCTTGACTAAGCTAATCTTTGGTGTAGTAAGGCGGTGCATATATTTGTATGTTTGTGGATGTTGTTTATCTCACTTGCACTGACACTTGCTGGCTGTTGTTGTTGTCAAGGCTGTGATCTCGACTTTAGTGGGGTGCCGTCTGGTGCTTTATGTGGTTCTGTGATTTGTATGTGATTGTATGTCCTTGCACTTATAGATGTCATATGGCATGGTAGTTTTTTTGTCGGGATAAAAAATAAAAAATAAAAATAAAAAAAATAAAAATAAAAATAAAAAAATCAGTTTGATTTTAACGTATGATAAAGATGGCCAGTGGGTAGGACCCAATTGTTATCATGGAGTTCCCCACAATGTGCTTGGAATGTGTAAACTGTCTTCTGACACTGATAATTGCATTGTGATAGTGTAAAAAAAAAAAAAAAAAAAAAACTGTATTTGTAACCCATACTTGGTAACCAAATTCAATTAATAATTTCATGTTATCTCACATAATACAACCATCCTAGGTCCAGGAGTTCAGTGTAGCAATCACGTGAATTCACCAGCTTCCTATGAGATGGTAAACTTTTTGTTTTATTTTTCGATATATTATACTAATCTTTCTTAAAATTTAAATAAATTATTGCTATGATCTCCCCGAGATATGGCGTGTGTACTCAACAACACTATTAACTTTTCTTTTTGATAAACTTGCTAATCAAATTTTAATGAATGACAAATTTGCCCTTTCGTACTTTCACCGATAGGTGAATTTAGATGAGGTCAAAGTATAAACGTTAAACATTCTATTTATGTAATTTTGCCCAAATAAGGATAGTCAGTGTCGTTTACCTTATTAAATTAGATAGTGATATTATATTATTTAAATGTTGTGTAATCCTTCACACTGGTGAAAAGTAGTGAGAATGTGTTACTGGAGCTAAAACATAAGATATCATAGGAGAAATGTGTAATTTATCTAAAAAAGAAATAAGGAAGAAAACATTACTTAGTGTTTAGAAATATACACCAATGTGGCATTCTTATTGTGCTACAATATTTACTAAAAGTTGAAGTCTAGTGCATCTATTCAACCTCTCAAAGTGAGTTGAATAATCAACTCCCCATAAAAATAAGGGTAAGTCGATAAAATTTTATAGAATGGATATGAGATACGAAACACAGATACTTTTCTTAGGGTCCCGTAGTGGTATCAAACACTCAGACAGTTATTGTATACAGGATATTTTTTGAACATGGGTCAGATAAGGCTAGAAGTATCCTGAAAATTAAATATTTTATTCTCTGGTTGGACGTGATTGGGACAAGGAAAGAATTCGTTTTTCTGCACACTTTTAGGATACAACGGATGGTTTTGTAATTATTATTATTATTATTATTATTAGTTTGGAATAATGAGATTCAATGCAATTTAAATATGTTATGGATTAATTAAAAAAATAATATAAAAGTTAAAGAAAACAAAAATAACAAACATCTAACTCTAAACTACAAATTAGTGATTTTATTCTTAATTATATAGATAAATTAGCAAAAATATATATATTTTTATATACAAATAATATATATTATATTATTATTTTTTAATGCATTCATGTCATACTCAAGCTTTATTTTTTTAAAAAGTTATTATTTCTCTGTGTTTGCACCGTACTCATATTTATATCCGTGTTTCTTAAGTTACAAATTTCTTGAGGAAAGAAGGGGGAGAAAAAAGAAAAAGGAAAGTGCTGTTATATTTAAAAATTAAAGTATCATTAATGCTTTCAACCACTTCGTGAAACTGGTCCTATCTAGTTTAAAACAATCCCCACCCTTTTGTGGCGATATTTTCTTGGAGAAAAATACATTACCAAGAAAGCAAAATGATTCGATGCCTTGACTTTAGCTCTTCATGTTTTAATGACTAACTAAAGCAATGATGCACATTTTTCTTTAGAATCCAACTAACAAATCCCCATCATATCACATCCTACCAGACTATATGATAAATTATAGCATACGATTCAATTTTTAGATATATTCTATCCATGTTGCATTTATTGTCAAAAAAAAAAAAAAAAAAAGGCAAAACTTGCAATTCCGCAAACCCTCTCTCTTGCACCAGCCAACAATCCTCGACAATGTTCCCATCACATCTGACTCTTTAATCCCGGTAGCTAGAAGAACCAAGATGAATAAAATTAACGCATTTCTTAATATTTGATGTGTTCAGAACTTTTCTTAATATTTGATGTGTTCAGAACTTTGCCCCGACAAATCAGCCCGACCCGATTAATTCACAAGATCGATAAAAGACAAATCAGCCCGACCCGATTAATTCACAAGATCGATAAAAAACAACTTTCGTAACTTTGCCCCGACTAATCAGCCCGATTAATCCACAAGATCGATAGAAAACGACCCATTCACATAAATTGGTTACAACTCAAACAATGTCTACGGTCATAGCCAAATTTCTCTACTTTTTCAGCTCAAATTTTAGTTACATCCAACAATAATCCTTTGAAAATGGAATCAAACACACTTTAATTATCAATGGTTGCTTTAAACTCCACGAAAATGAATCTTGAAAACTCTAAAAACATATATATATAAAGAGATATTGAGAGGAGGCGCATTATATTCCCAAATCAAACACTAGAACAAAACAATTTTTTTAACCATATAAACATTGAATATTAAGGGAAAAATCTGAAAGTGGGTGGTTTACAGGATCAGCTTTCCTAACAAAAGGCAAAAACCCCATTCCCATCAAGGCCTGCAAATGTTAAATGACGGCACTGAAAAAAGCCAAAAGCCAGGGGGGAGAGAGAGAGAGAGAGAGAGAGAGAGAGAGAGAGAGATAAACTACAAATAAAGAAAAGAGAGGATGAGAGAGAAAGTTGCAGAGTCAATGAGTACAGAATGTAATAAAGCAGGAGGGCTAGTCCTGATGGAATCACCCATGGCTAAACCAGCTAACCATGACCCATCAGTCAACATAGTTTCAGATCCAGACCCTGAACCCGACCCTTGTATCTCTGACCCTGATCCGGAGCCGGAACCGGTTCCTGACACTGACATTGACCCATCTGTTGTTGTGGTCCCTGGTGAGGGATCTTTTGAAGATTTCTGACTGCACACAAGGAATTGAATAGTACGAGTTAAAACAAATTTACACTAAATGAGCTTTGCATTTAACACTAAATGAGCCTTGCAGATTATCATAACGCGTGTCAAGGTTATTTGGTGAAAAACTAATGACGTTCATTGAATAACACGTTCGCATAGAAACCAACCCAACAACATGAAATTAATATCCACATAATAAATTACTTCCTCTCAGCCACCCATCAAATTTAAGAAAAATTAAGACACGGGTAGAAGTATTTAATTATAAATTTTTATTTATATACATGTATTGAGTAATAATATTAAATTTTAATTTATTTTTAATTTTTATACTAAAAGTGGTAAAGACTTTTATATGTATATGTATAAACAGTTATTACCCTTATTTTAGAAAATGAACAAATATCATTTAATACTTCAATTCAATTGTGTTCATAAGTGTATAATGTCAATTTTTCAAACAAAAAAGTTAAAATACTTTAGAATGTATTTATTTTATTTTTAAAATTACCAGGTAAATTTGTATTAAAAATATTTGAAAATATCGGTCTAATTGTTTAAAAGTGGCGGCAAAATATCCGAAAAACATCTAAAATAATAAAAATATCTTTTTATTTACATACACGTACCCATGCTTTATGGTTTATTCCTTATTTGAAATATGACCATACCAAGTCATTAGTATGTCCAACCAATCACAATACACAATTCAAATAAATTAAACTTAGTCGCTAACAATTTTATGCCAAGTACACCCTCTAGACCTTCTCGCTGATCTAATACTAACTCCCCCATATTAGTCAACTTTTCTTTTTAAGAAGTCCCAAATTAATTATCCATTTTAAAAAGTTAAATAAATAAATCAATTTTTCATAATTTGTCCTTTTAATTTTTAAAAAATCTTCCAACTTGGCATTAATGAGACAACTAATACACTAGCATAAATAAAAATTAAAATAACAATTTAGCAATTCAAAACGAGACCAATACATTAATGGCATGCCCCTTAAAAAGTTATAAAAACCCAAAGGTAAACCACTAATATAAGATTGAGTGATTAACTTTTTAAGGAGACATAAAATTAATGCATTATTACACTTTTCAAATTACTAGGTTGTCATTTTAATTTTAAATAACACCAAATTCAAAAAAATTTAAAAGTTTACAAGATAATTACGTAAAGATTGAATTTATTTTTGTTTACCATTTTAAAATAAATAACTAAACAAATCTTGTAACCATTTTATTTTTTATTTTTTATTTTTTTATTATTATTTTTTTTTTGACACAAACAAATCTTACAACTAGTGTTGTATAATTTTGCTCCTTTTACTCTAGTCTGCACTCATACCCATCCTTTTCATTCACTGACTTTGTGATGCCAGCTTGATCTTTTTATTTCCAACCCTACCCTTAACATGACTCATGTCGCTTTACTTTTTACCTTAGTGAATAGTAAACTTATTTTAATTAATTTACTTGTTTGCTTTTACCACCAAAGTTAATTGAAAGAAGTTAAGTGCCTTCCAAATGAAAGTGAGGGTTCAAGTCATTAGAGGGCAAAAGGAGTATTGGAAGGTGAAGGTTCAAATCATTATAGAGCAAAAGGGGATATATGAGTGTATTTCTTGTCAAGATAAAATATATATATATATTTCAACTTGACAAGAAACACACTCACACACCTACTCTTACTTCTACAAAAACTAACCTTCAATTTTTACTTTGTATTTGAGAAAGTACTAAGAGCAAAAGGGGTATATGAGTGTGTTTATTGTCACTTGACAAGAAACACCAACACACCCACTCTTATTTCAACAAAAACTTGAATCTTCAATTTTTTAACTTACACCATGAGAAAGTATTAAGAACAACTCCACCGGGTTAACGTAAAATCCATTTCTGCAATATTATGCGGTCCAAATTTGGAGAGCTAAAACCTCCAATGATCCGATGGAAAGTGCCCAAATGACAACCTCTTGGAAAATTTACACAAATCCATTGGAGATGCTCTAAATTACATTCCATGGTTCACCCTTTTCAACTACTCCATTTATATATTTTTTCTATCTTTACAAGTGTAAACCATTTTAATCTTCGCCTTATTTCTAATCCTCCCATATAATTTTAGTACACAAAAAAAAAAAGAAAAAGAAAAAATTTGTTTTTAAAAGAATAGACGAGCTGAACTGAGAGGCCAATCTGTCCTGGCTAACCTAAATTAACACTAATGGAAGGCTTATTTACATTTAAATATATTTCAAATGAAATTCAAATGTATCACTTACAACTATCTATCAAATTAACACTTCAAATATATTTAAGAAATTAAAGTTCTTCCCTTTGTACTTTAGGTCTACCTTTTTCTTTTCTTTTTCTTTTTTAATGGGTATATTATCATTACATACACAAATAATATAATTTTATAAGAACAGAAGGAACCTTTAGCAGTGCTAGTTTTGCTAGTCATCCATGCTCCAACCCAAATGCGCATGTGTATGCACATGTATGCATGTATGTGTGTGTATATATTGGGCAGTGCTAGTTTTGCTAGTCATCCATGCTCCAACCCAAATGCGCATGTGTATGCACATGTATGTATGTATGTGTGTGTATATATTTATATACATATCTATATGCCCAATAGAATTAGAGAATATTTAGTGAGACTTAAATAATGCTAATTCTAGTAAGCATTTTACCTTGGCATGGAGGGGCAAAACGTCACCGTATAATCAGCATCTGCACACGTGAAAGTGCTCGTAGGGTCATCGTAAGCGTAGCTATACGATCTGGGACAAGCCGACTTGAACATCTCGGAGTACACCGACGGCTTACAGGTGGCGGGTGAACTGTACGCGCCGCTGCAACAGTATTCCGGCGTCCCGAAGGCCTCGCACGCGCTCTTACACGCCTCCCCATCACCCACCCTTAGCTCCGCCGGGCACTGCAGGTTCAGGTCCGTCACGCACCCGGTCGAAGCGCACATGCCCGACCCGCCACCGCTCACCTCTACGATCACCGGCAAGTTGTACCCGTCGACAAGGCTCACGTCGTAGAAGTCCTGCCCGCCGGTACCCAGAGTGAACTCGGCGAGCGTCGCCGGAGGGGCTGCTCCGGCGCCGTTGCACTCCACCTGACCCGACCCACAGTCTCCGGTGGCGCAGGAACCCGACTCGGATCCGTCGAAGTTGCAGCCGGTTCGGCCCCAAAACCGGCCGGACCAGCCGGTCGGGGCTTGGAAGGAGCGTGAGGTGTCTTCGGGGAGCTCGAATCCTGTACTGTCGAGTGTAGGGCTTCCTGCATTTGCAAGAATGCCTGGCCATACTGTGTACTCGCATTTGTTCACAAATGTAAAGGTAGCCCCTAAAATACCTGAGAATCAACACAAAACACAGATTTGTTCCTATAACACTTTGATATAATCTCAAATCATAGATATATATGTGTGTATAAATGTATTGTGATAGAAACCGAGATCAGAAAATGGCTGTATTTGTTTTGAGAGTGAGATTTGTTCTCATAAATCGGTTAAAGTTAAACTGACACACACATCTAAATGTAATGTGAGAGAAACCCAGATAAAAAATGGCTGATTTACCTCTTGAAAAAAAAAAAAAAAGAGCGGAGTAATTTGTCACTATAAAAGACATGAGTGTGTGTTAGTGTGTGATGTGAGAGAAACCCAGATCAGAAAATAGCTGATTTAAATGTAATGTGTGTGTGCATATATATATATGTATATGTATATGTATATGTAAATGTAATGTGAGAGAAACCCATATCAGAAAAATGGCTGATTTAATGAGATTTGTTACCTACCAAAAAGCCTATAAATAAGTGTATATGTAAATGTAATGCAAGAGAAGCTCATTACCTCTTGAAAGCAAGAACAGAGCAAGAGACAGACTGAGAATGAGAGTGGAAGAGCCGCGAGATGAGAGATCCATGTGGCTTTTACTAACTTTAAATCTTCTCTCTTTTTTTTTTTTTTTGGGTTCTTCTGTTGTTGGTGGTGGTCGTTCACTTTAATCAATGGAGCTTCAAGAGGAAGCACAGGAGGTTGTTAGGACTTGTTTGGGGTTATGTGATTTGGGATCTTTGTGTGTTTGTGTGTGGTTCAGATACTGCTGTGAAGATGAAGGTAGATAAGGTGCATTGATGTTGGGGAAGAGGACGAAAAGAAGAGGACGATGCAGGGCTTTGTGCCCTGCAGAGGGAGAGGGTAGTAGATGACAGTGAGAAATGACGGAAGAAAAAGAGATTATTAGGGTTTGGGTTCAATGCCCATAAAACAAGCATTTGCACTGTCTTATGTGGAACAGAGTAAAGGGTAGTGAGGTCAGTGTAGGAGGAAAAATCCATATATTCCAAGTATTATTATATACATTTATTAGATTCCCTTCACAGCGTCCAGTTCATCATGTTTATTCACGTTTTTTTTGGTTGGACCATGGAACGGTCAAGAGACCAGCTTGATCCAACCCGTTATCCATTGAGTTTGATGATTATTTATTAATTTAAACAAAACGGATATAAGGTACATTTAATCTATTTGGGTAATAATTTGATTTGAGGTAATATAATACTCAGTAAAATACACAAAAGAGTCTACTTACTAGAGTAGCACAAAAAATCCAACGGTTATTCTACACAAAATCGATATACATTATTCTGACATGACTCTATATTGTACTATGTGTCATAAAAATTATGGATGAGAACAAATTGGGCTAGATAAGAGTGTTTGGGGTGCACTAAAAAAGTAGAGGATATTTGTATAAAATACAGAGGAGGAAAGTCGGTATGGTAGTGACATAGTAAAATTGTGGATTCCATCGATTATTCTTTATTGCATTGTTTGCGGTTGGAGAATGTTACAGAGTATATTCATCTGTTTTGACACACTTATTTAATCATTGGTTCTCCTTGTTTTTATGTTTTTTTCTCAAATCACTTCTAAATTAATTATATAAAAATAAAGTGAGCAATGAAAAAATGAGTTTCACCGTATAACATAATTTAAAATGCATATTATCTATCTACTTTATTAAAATATGTTGACTTGGCACTATACTATTTTAAAGTAGGGGGTCAACTAACGTGCTAATACTTCTGCAGCACCAAAACTAAACTCGATTTTGGTTTGGAGAGATGGAATAATGGACAAAAGTGAAAGTAGAGGAGGGGAGGGAGATGGGAGTCAAAGAGCCGCGAGATGAGAGATATTTAGAAAAGAATAGGTTTTTCTCTCACTTTTTGTTTGATTGGAGAGTTTTTATATTTTTCATTATACCTTAATTATATAAAATTTTAAAAATAAATTTTTTTATAAAAAAATCAAAATTAATATTGTATATATTTAGATAGTGATTCACTCTTTCCCTCATTTCTTCTGTTCAATTTGGACGGATAAGAAAAGTTAAAATAAGGAGGGATTGCTTCTTCCCTCTCTTCCCTTCATTCCAACCAAACATGAGAAGGCTCATTCACCCCTCTTCTCTTCTATCATTTCTCAATTCATCCCTACAAGGAAGCATATAATAAGTCTTGCATATTGCTTCATAGGACCCCAATCCTAGGTATTAGGCAAGAATCCCAAATCACTATTGACTAGGGATCTTTTCTTTATCAAATATTTGGATTCCTTCACAATTTGATTTATGTCCTTATTTGTATCAATCCCTTTTTATGTGGTATTGTATCATAGCTAGCTTTACTTGTCAATCAAGCCTTGAAGTTTATAAATACATGTAAAGAGATGTAACCAATCGTCTAATACAATAAATAAATTGTTCATTGTATCAGAGCTTTCAAATACTCCAACGAGTTTTTTTTATCCTTATCACACCTCTCGCGCTCTCTCTCTCTCTTTTCATCTAAAGCATCTACATCTCTGTTTCACTATATCTACAGAACCAGCCTTCTCCACATCTGCCAATATTCTTTCCTCTTCCCCGTCTCTCACTATCCCTAATATCTCACACCTTATTTCAATCAAATTCACTGATACAAGTTACCTTCTTTAGCAATCGCAAATTAAGTCATTTCTTATTTGCCAAAAATTTTGGAGGTTTATTGATAGATCCAAAGCATGTCCCTCTCAAACCATATTATTTACTGATGGCAAATCTGAGGTCACCAATCCGGAGCACACAACATGGTTTAGAACTAATGAAACTCTCGTCAGTTTAATAATGATATGCTCTTTTCCTCTGTTTTATCTCAAGTTGTTGGTGTAGCCACTTCTCATCAGATTTGGTAGTGTCTCAAAGAAATCAACAAGTTATTGCCAATGCCACGCATTTTTGCTCTTAGCTTTTGTCTCTTTCTAAAGGTTCCAAATCCATCTTTGAATACCTAAAACATACCAAATCCCTCTCTGATACCCTCGTAACCATTAATGAACCAATCTCCAATAATAACTTTGTTACTTCTGTTCTCTATGGTCTAAGCTCAGATTATGCTTTGCTGAAAATTGTTATTCTCAATTTTCCTCCTCTTCCCAAATTTTCGGATCTTATTGCTCGCCTTCTCTGTTTTGAATCGTATCCCAGTTCTGAAAACACCACAGCCATTACTTTTATTTCCAACACCTATGGAGACCAAAATTTAAATTCTCGTGGTGCTCGTGGAGGTTGTTCTGAGTATTCCAACAATCACAACAATTACATTTATGATAATACCCGTTGTCGATATGGGCGTGATGATTTTGGTCGATACACTTACAGTTATGATAATAATTGTGGTGGATATGGTCGTCCTGATTTTGGTAGAAACAATTGAAGTCACAATAGTTATGGTTGTGGTGGTTATTACAATAACCATGGTACTCATCAGAGTATTCTTGGACAGCACCCTTCCTCCAGCACTTTTCAGTTTGATGATGATCTCACTTCTACCTTTGCTTGACTGCAACTATCTCAACTTGTGGATCCCAACTGGTATCCTGATACCTGTGCCACAAATGACATGACATGTGATGCTTGTTATATGACTCAAATATCCAACTATGGTGGTAATGATCAGGTTGTTTTAGACAATGGTGAATCACTTCCTAATGGGCAGTCTCGTAACCTTTCACTTTAATCTAGTTCTTCATATTTTCATCTTTCTAACGTACTTCATGTTCCTTTAATGACCAAAAATTTGTTGGCAGTTGATCAATTTACCCGTGATAATTGATAAGCGCTGAATATTTCATATTCAAACACCCTTAATTGCATGTTTTAGTCTGTTTAGTGTATCAATAAAGTGTATTTTATAGGCTTTTGTATACTTTGTCTATTTTTAAGGCTTATTTCCAAAAAGGAATAAAAGTGAGGTTTTACGGGATCTTAATGAACATGGGGCATGGCAAGCTGAAGAATCAACCAAAATGGGTTTTAGGACCATTAACAAGCTCAGCTTGAGGAAGGAAGTCGATTGGAGAAGCCTTGCAAGGAAGATGAAAGCCATTGAAGAACAAAGCTTGCATCTGGACGTAGCCTCTAGGAGCATTCTTGGCGTCTGGATGCCCTGTGGAAATCCTGCTTAGCAATTACAAATTCAAAGATATAAAATTCCGGTAGCCAAAGAAATTTATGTCCAAATGCCCATCTCTGCGTCTAGACATCAAATGCCAGAGGCTGCAGCACAAGCACCTTAGCGCGCACAAGACACAGCATTGACAAGCTACGTTTGGACGCCCACCTGCGAATAAATATGCTGATTTGAATTTTTAGTTATTTATCTCTCTCCTCCACTTGAATGCATGATTTTTTGGGAGTTTAAACCTTTAGATGATTATGGAGGGCTATATACATATCTCTATATTGTATCATTCATTATCATTCAACTTTGTATCATTATAGAAAGAGAAAATAGAGGAAATATTGGGGTTCTTGAGTGTTCTTGAGAGGGGCTGCTATGGGGCTGAAGATGGAGGCTTCTTCTTCATTCCTTGGGGCTTCTACCACTTCTAGAATAAGTTAAATCCTCTCCTAGGGGGTTGAGGTATCTGATAAGCGCCGAATATTGCATATTCAAGCGCCCTTATTTACATTAGTTAAGTCCATTAGTTAATTATAATATATTGTTTAGCTTTGTTTGTTTATTTCTGTCTTCTTTCAAGTTGGTTCCTCCGAAATTGGTTAAAAGAACGGTTTTGACGAACTCTTAAAGAATCAAAGCAGGCCGTTGCTGGGGACCATCATTTGGACCAAGCTTCTTGAGTCATTATGTGTGTGAGTTTTGCAGCGTAGTGCTCGGGATGAAGACCGTGTCAACGGACTGATCCAAAGTGGTTCAAGGGAGGGGTGAAAGCATTGAAGCCAAGCTCCCGCAAGCGCCCGCCAAACCATCAAGTGGGCTCATTAATCCTGCGGGCACCCGCTAAAGTGACCAGAATCTTCATGCATCCGCGGGCGCCCGCCATGCGCCTATGGGCGCCCGCCACTCTACAGACAAGGAAGCATGGGTTCCCCTTTTCTTCACCAACTGTTATCCCCTAAATTAAAGGATTGCCCTGTAATGGTCTTGGGGCCTTAGGACCACAAATTGGGAATAGATAGAAGGCTAAGGTGGATATAATAGAGGGTGGTTACATTGTATAGGGATATCTCACATTTTTACAAGTTTTAGAGAGAGAAATATTACAAGGTGAGAGGGTTTGTGGGTCTTGAAGCTCTAGGTGCGAAAATGGGTTGAAGATCACCTTTTCTCCTTCCTCCATTGCTCCTATGGGTAACTAACTCCCTTTCTAGGGAGGTGATGAAGCCCTACATTGTAAGCATGCTCTAGCTTTTGGTTTATTTTGGGAAAAATGATGTATATATGTGACTATTTCACAATCTAGAGGTTACACTTGATGTAATGAGTCTAATTTCTTATAAATGATTATGATGAATGTATTATCTTGTCTTAGATCATATTTTCTCATGATTGTATGGCTTGCATTTTCATAGTGACAATGGAAATGAGATTGTGAAATGGGTTTCTTGGCATGTTGTATGAGAATCTTAATATTCCATAGCTTAGGACCTTCTTTGATGGACTATTCTTGACTCTTGACTTCATGTGCTCTTATCATGTGATTAAAGGCTTGATAATCTCTAGCTTAGCAAGCATGTTTAAGACTACACACTAGTTTAGGTAGTTCAAGCATGTGTAACTTTGATAGGTTATTCTTGCCATTAATTTCATGAATTTCTTGAAGGAATGTAGCAATTTTGTGTTGTAGCATTCCATAGTCACATATTTGTGTTAATTCCCCTAAAGTTTACCTCAATTAGCATGCTTATAAGGTAGGTAGTGGATTCACTTCCCTAGTCTCTCTACTTAGATCTCTTTCCT